TTCTTTCCCCAGAGAGTGGTCTGCCTGTTTGAGAACTGCATAGAAATGAAAGTACTTCCCACCTGCTCTTCTGTGCCCAGATTTTTATTTTCTTACTATAATGTTTTAGAGTTTCATCCATAGTCCCTCAGGCGTTGTTGTTGCTGATAGTTACCCCTCATGTAAATGTAACACAATTCACTTATCCATTCTTCTGCTGATGTGCATGTGGGATGTTTCTAATTTTGAGCTGTAATGAATGAAATGTCTCTAAACATTCTTGCACAAATCTTTTTTTTTTTTTAACACATGTGTTTCATTTATCTCAGGTAAATATTTAGAAGCATAACAGGTGTATATGTAACGGCCAAAACGTCTTCCAAAGTGTCCCAGGGACAGAGTGGTGCGTCCTGGCCCCGCTGTGTCTTTGCCTAGACTGAGCTACGGTCCTAAGTCTCAGCTGTTCCACTGCTGTGCCCTGACACACTACACCTTTATGGTTTTAATTTGCATTTCCCCCTGTGTGCAGTGATGTTAAGCACTTTTGCATGGGCTTACTGGCTTCTGATATTCTCCTCTGTCAAGTTTCTGTTCAAGTGTTTTGCCCATTTCTTAAACTTTGGACTTTTTTCCCTTTATTATCCAGTCGAAAGGGTTCTTATACTCTGGATACAAATCAGTTGTCTTGATTATATGTCTGTTACCCTAACGTACGACCTGCTTTTTGTTTTCTTAACAGTGTATTTCAGTGCTGAAATTTTTAATTTTGATGAAAACTAATTTGTTTTTTTCTTCTATGATTAGTGCTTTTCTGTGTCCTAAGAAATCCGCACACATGAGGACCATGACAGTGATCTGTATTTTCTTCCACAAGTTTTAGAGTTATAGCTTTCACATTTAGGTTTATGGCCCATTTTGTGACAATCTCCATGTATGGTATGAGGCACAGCTCAGAATTCATTTTTCCCAACCTGGTGTACAGTTTTTTCAGCTGTTTGTTGATAAGACTTTCTTTCACTCCATTGTATTACTTTGAATTCTCTGTTGGAAATCAATTGATCTTATAGGTACGATTCTATTCCTGAATGCTCTGTGTTGTCCCCCTGGACTATTTATCTATCTTTACATCACTACCAAATTGTATTTGTTCTTTGTTATCAATATTCTCAGCAAATGTGATCTCGTTTGGTTCCAGCCAAGAGTTTCTGCCCTCTGAAAATGCTTCCCACGTGCTCCGAAAATACATGAAATCACATCACTTCCAAGGGCCATAGGCCTTTATTTTGCAATGAGTAATAAGGTTTATAACACAAATGTCCTGGATCATTTTGAGAAATGCATTAGAAATGGCGTGCTGTGATATGACAAATGGTGACCGGGCCTTCCCGGAGAGGGAGTCTTGGCTGGAGGGCAGCCCCGGGCGCCATCCAGCATCACGGCCAGTGTAGGGCTGCTCTTTCGGCTCAGTTTCCGGCTGGGCCACACCAGATACTCTGGGTGCAGGGCCCAGCCACCCCTTCCAGATACTCTCCCTACAGGAAACACCTTCTCCTTCTTCCCGACTTTACACGGGGGGTGGGGGCGGCAGAAGCGTGGGGAATTCTGGAGCCAGCCTCTCTCAGTGTACACAAAATGTCCGGAATCGGGTAAAATGAAAGCACAGCCTCCGTTTTCATCAGTAACCCGTATGAGCCCGACCTCACGACTGTGGTGAACACAGACAGCAGACAGAGCCGGAAGTCTGAGCGCAGCTCAGACAGGACCACGCCAACGGGAGGCTCCGCTGACACAGTGGGTCAAGGAAACAGCCACAAAGAAAGGCGTTGACACCGAACCGTTTTCAGTGTGATTATTCTAAATAAAAACTAGAATTCCCGCCGTGTGTCCTAATGACACGCTAAAGCGGCAGCCTTCCCACTCTCAGGGCCAACTGATTCTCGCAGAAGCAACGATGTGGGATTCCCCGGCAGACAGGCCAGCAGCAGGTGCCCTGTTTTGTTCGGGTGGGCGAGTTTGGGCTGGGAACCTAAAATCCACTGCTGCAGAGGAGTCGATAGGATGTGAAAGAGGTAGGGTTACTACATAGAATAGTGGATATCCAGTCAAGTTTGAATGATCGAATTGTGGTAAAATATATATAACATAAAAGTTGACACATTAACGGTTTTTAAGCATATAGTTTGGTGGCATTAAATACATATATATTGTTATGCAACCATCTCCGGAACCTCCTAATTTTCTCAGACTGAATCTCTGTCCCCACTAGACACTGACCCCCACCAGCCCCAGCCCCTGGCGCCCACCATTGTACAGTCTCTGTGGCTTTGACTCCTCTATGGACCTCAAATAAGTGGATCCCACAGTATTGGTCTTTCTGTGGCTGGTTTATTTCACTCAGCATAATGGCCTCAAGGTTCATCCACGTGGTCACGTCTTGCAGAGTCGCCTGCCTTTTTAAGGATGAATAATGTTCTGCTGTGTGCATTCACTCCATTTTGTTGTCCACTCCTCTGTCAGGCGGACACGTGGCTGTTTCCACCGTTCAGCTGTTTTGAATAGTGCTGCTGGGAACACAGGGGCACAAATACCTCTCTGAGACCCTGCTTTCTATTCTCTTGGGTGCAGACCCACACGTGGGCTTGCCAGTTTCATGGCGGCTGCACCATTTCTCACTCCCACTCTCGGTGGTCAAGGCTCCGAGTCCTCCACATCCTCACCGACTCTTGTCACCTCCTAGCTGGCTTTGGGATGGGAGCGATTCTGACGGGTGTGAGGTGGTGTCTCGTGGTTTTGATTTGTATTTCCCTGATGGCGACTGATGTGGAGCATCTTTCCACGTGTTGGCTGACCATCTGGATGTCTTCTTTGGAGAAATGTCTATTCAAGTCCCCTGCCTTAAATCTGGACTTCAGATAAACTGAATAACGTTTCGGTATATGCACGCGGCACACAATACTGGACATTTATACACGCTAAATAAGTATCTGCTGTTTATCTGAAACTCAGTTTTGACTCGGGGTCTTGTGTTTTTATTTGATAAATCTGGCAACCCTAGAAAGCAAGAACTCTGAGGATCTGAAACAGTCTTTAAATATTTCACAATTGTGCTAAGGTGAACTCTGAAATGGTTTAGTGTATTTTTGTGGGTGTTTGGCTGGTAGCCTCCGCTCTATTAGAAAAATGTAATTTCATTTTGAGATGCTCCAGACTAAATCATTTGAGCTTCACACTCTTTGTGTAACATTATTGGGCGCCCTTAATGAAATTATAACTCAAGCAAAAGATTTCATTCCCTCATAGTAAATTAGCTTGGGCTGTGAGGGTCTGGGAGAGCCAGTGCCTCCCTGGCTTATTCTTCTCGTTCCGTAGAATGAAGAAGGAGCAGGCATTTTATATTTGAGTTATTTATTGTTCTCTCTGAGTGAACATTACATCGCTGCCCGTCCCCACTGGAAACAACAGCTGTTAACAGGCTCCTGAATGAATTTCAATGTGGAGTCCTCTGGCCTCTGGGAAGCGTGGGTAAAGAGAAAACGGGCTCAGAATTCAAAGAAAAAGAGCATGTTGCCGGCCTGGGTCTGAACGCCTGAAGGCTAACTGCAGATAAAACCACCAGCTGAGGCTTTCGGGCGAAGTCACAGTCAGAGCTGTGCCCAAAAGGGAGCCCCACACGCCAGCAGTCCCCCTTCCTGCGGACAGAAGCAGCAGGGGGCACTGAAAACCCTGCCCTCTGGTGCCAACTGATTCCTACGGAGTGTCCCCGTAGCAAAGTAGCTCAACCCCTGCGGGCCAGGTGCGGACACGAGGACTGCCCAGAACAGTGGGGAGGGGGCCCGGGAGAGGCGGGTGTCCACATGCGGACCCAGGGTGCACTCGCCTCTGCCCCCGAGGAGGCTCCCCTGTGGACAAGCGCCTAGCTCTGGAGGCTGGATGTAATCAGTGGAGTCTCTACAACACGGAGCTTTTCCTCCGGGCCCTTTAATATTCTGTCTGTAGTGCCTCCCCTCTGAACTCCTCCCACAATCCTGTCTTTCTTTTTAAGAGACTCATCGCTGAGGGGTGCCTGGGGGGCTCAGTCAGTTACGCGTACGAATTTGGATCAGGTCATGATCCCGTGTTCCATGGGTTCGAGCCCCACATCGGGCTCTGTGCTGACAGCTCGGAGCCTGGAGCCTGCTTCGGATTCTGTGTCTCCCTCTCTCTCTGCCCCTCCCCCACTTGTGCTGTCTCCCAAAAATAAACATTAAAAAAATTTTTTTAATAAATACATAAATAAAATAAAAAGATTCGCAGCGCTGAGACTGTGGGAAAACACGTCCCGTCGGCCACAAGCAGCGTCCCCCCGGGCCAGCTGCCCACGCAGATGTCAAGAGCCCAAACATGGGATGATGCTGTCCCCACTGCCTGTCCTCCCGCCGGCTCCCCTCCAGGCTCTGCTGGGCCCCCATCTGCAGGATGGACATGGGGCCCCCATCCTGCACCCCTCCCTCCCTCCCTCGCTGCCCCTGTTTGGCAGCTTGAAGGTCCATCCTTGCTCATGCACTTCCGGCCCACATGGCAAGTTCTCCATTGATGGGGAGGAAAGGTCTTGGCTTGAATTGCACGATTCTCGTTTAATTGTGGCTTTTTTTTTTTTTTGTACTTGCTTCACTGCCTCCCTGTGAAATGCCCTCGGCCCGAGCTCTGCCCCACCCAGCACCCTGGGAGCCCATGCAAGGTTGTCGCCCTGGAGACGATCGTTTGTGGAGTTTTGAGGGACAGGGAACAAGAGGAGGGGAGATGCCAAAAATGAGAAAAGAAGAAACATGGAAATCATAAAGTCTAAAATTGAATGGAGAGAGGGGTTTGATGAAAACGCTGTCAGAAATTCAATAAAAGACTGAACCAGAATGAAGTGGCTGAAGCCAAAACGAGCCTTCAACGCCCCGTCCAAACCCTCAGTAATAAGAACTTGGGAGAGCACTGAGTTTTTCTGAAACTCAATGTCAAAAGTGCATTTCCTGTTCTTCTTTTCTTTCCAGACAAAGTAACCATGTTGTCAGCCTTCATCGCTCCCTTCAAGCACTTAAGCCCCGGGGCCACCAACACGGAGGATGAAGACAATCTAAGTAAGCAGTTTCCCTTCCCTGAAGAGCCGAGGGGGTCCCAGCCCCATGCGCTGAGGGGGTGTCCTCTACTGTCCCCGAATGAGAGACCCTTGGGGTGACGGGGGGGGGGACTGTGTGGGTTTCCCAGAGCAAGAGGCTCCACTCCTGTCCCCACCTGGAGTCCCTTCCCCATCATGAATCCCATCCCCACCTGCAATCCTGTCCCCACCTGGGTGGTGGGAAAATATGAGCAGTGACTATATAATTGAGAACTCCAGCAATTGCAGGGAAGAAACAGTTCTCTTGGACCACCCCGCCTCTCTTCCCTTTGTTTTTCCCTCCAAAAAGAAGAAAGGGAGGGAGGAAGGGAAGGAGGGAGGTAGCAAGAGAGAGGGGGAGGAAGGCAGGGAGAAAGAGGGGGAGAGAGGAGGGAGAGAGGGAGGTGAACACAGTTTGTATAATCATTCCACAAGGAAAGAGCTGGATGGTTGCCTGCCCGTTGGGACGACAGTTCTGGCTCATGGATGAAACCAGACACCAAAGCAGTGCGGTGTGGGGACCAAAAAGCTGGTTGGGGGAGGGGATCTGAACAGTCCCCCTGCCGAGACCACTGAGGGCCCCCAAGGGAGGCAGGGCTGGTGTGCGTGTGCAGGCGCCCAGGCGTGCCTGGCACACACGGTCTCCAGTCCGTGGCGCACTGTCAACCATTCACGCGAGGGGTGAAGCATCCCAGTCCATGCAGATCCTTCTCGCGTTTCAATATTATCTGACAGATGGGTCACCCTTCCAGCCAAGAGTGAAGGGCATGCTTACTGCCTGCGGTGAGGGGGCGAGGGGCGAGGGGCGTGTGCGGGAGCTCCCAGGGCAGAAGGCACCGTCGGGGACCCACACGGGAGTGCTGTCCCCTCTGCCGCCAGCTGGGAAGAAGCAGGGGCCCCTCCCAGGAAACCCAACCATCAAGGGGACTGGAGGCTGAGGTCGCTGCCCTGCGTGGAAATCAGAACATGCATCTCTGGACCCTCAGTTCGGGGTCAGAGCCTCAGCAAAGCACATGCGCCCAAGGGAAAGTCTGGCAAGGGCTTGTTTTTCTTCTCTCAGGGTCTAAATGGGAAAATTTCTAGGACTCGGTCAATTTACTGAGCTGCTTCAGAAATGTGGGGCGTGCGCGCGCGCGCACACACACACACACACAAGTGCACATGCATGTGTACATGTCCATGAATGCATATTCTAAGCAGGCATGCACACGAGCCCCACGCTGAACTGGACTTATGGCCAAAGCTATCTGATAACACACGTGCAATATATGAGTTGAGAAAGAGAATCTCCCTCTGCTTCCTCTTCTTTCCCACCTCGAGGGGCTGGAACGCTGTGTGTCTACTCGGGGGCCCAGTGTGGACACGGCCACGTGCTCTGTAAGTGCCCCCACGAGCCTGGCCAAGAGACCCACGGCTCAGAGCCCCAGCACCTCATTTGCAAAGTGGGGAAGGGAACGTTACCTGAGTCACGGAGTTGAGATCGGAATCAGGACGATGCATCGAGACGTTCAGCAAGGACCTGGAAGAGAGGAAGTGCCCAAGTTGGCTAACAGCAATCAAGGGGATTTCCCCTAATTCAGCTCCCTGGCTAACAGGTGGTTTTTCGCTGTTTGTTACCTGCTAAAATGCCTTAGCAATGCTCACAAAATTGTTTTCTGTCAGTGGAGTGGCCATCCGTCTTTGCCATATAAGCTGCTGATGTACTTAGGAAACCCTGTGCTCGGACACCGTTCGAAGACAGACCCCAAGCCGTGCCCTTGTCTTCGCAACTCTAGTTCTCCGACACAGTCTGCACAATTTGTAACCCCAGCGCCACTGGAAGGCGGGAGAGGAACCAGTGGTGACTCCCCTGAGAGGGCAGGGGTGTGTGTCTGATGCGTGTGGCATGTGCATGCACACGCCTGTGCAGGGAGAGAGGGTGGAGGGGTAGGAGCAAGCGTGAACTGGCTTTGCGGTCTCCTTCTGTTCTTAGGTCACGTGGCTCTGGTGTGCGTGGGCTGGAGATACATGAAAGTGCTCTGCCCGCTCCACGTGCGGAGTCAGGGGCGGGACCGTCAGGCAGGCTCCCCGCGCGGCCACCGGCACTCACCTCCCTCGTCCCAACGCCAAGGGCACAGCTGGGGTCCGGGGTTGGTGGCCAGAGAGACTCAGCCGGAGAGAAGTGGTGCCCGTGAGCCCCTCTGGAAGCTGTCAGCGGGGGTGGGTTTCCGCCAAGGGTCTACGGGACGACGCCACTTTGCTGAGACTTCCTGCTTAAGCGGGCAGCTCAGAAAGCTTTCTTCTCTGAACACTGGCCCCCCGACCTTGATGCCCACCACTGACCCAGGTCACATGAGGCGGGACGGTGATGCCCACTCCTGGGGTGCTTCCTGTACTGGGTCTGGAGGGAGGAAGACCCGCCCGCCGTGCCTGCTTGATCCTCCCCCAGATGTGCGGCAGGCACAGCGTCCAGGACCGCGTGTGACAGGTCAGGTCCTGCAAAGGAGGCCGCCTTGGCCTGCTTCCCAGCCCGATCTAGGAGCCACCTGGTCGGGCCTGCCCTTCTGCAACCCCAGCCAGCCGGCCCACAGGGCTCTCTGTGCTCAGAGAGTGGGCCACAGCCCACACCCTCGAGGCCCCAGGACCTCCCTCCTCCTGTGAACGGAGCTCCGGGCCACTGGCCTGGCTCCTGGCTGCACCCTTGTCGGACACGAATGTGGAGCTCGGACGGCCGGTTCCTTGGCGCCCCGCCAGCTGCGGACACAGCAGACATGCGGTGCTGAACAGCTCCCGGCACCGGGACTGCTTGGAGAAGTCCGGCTGCATCATAACTGGGCAGATGGTGGCCCCAGAAAGGGGAAAGGGGGCGAGGGGGTGAGGGGGCGAGGGGGTGAGGGGGCGAGGGTGCGAGGGGAGGGGCAGGGAGGGGCGAAGCGTGGGCATAATACACAGCCCCACGTGCCGCCTGCACTCGCGCCGGAGCCGTGAGGGCCATGAGCCCACAGCCGAGGACCTCGCCCTCCACGTGGCCTGTTCACATCTGAGGGCCGACAGCCAGTGCGCAAGGACAGTGCGATAACTGGACTTAACTCTGGGAGGAAACACTTCACCTGGAAAATTCAAGTGTAGCCACAGCCAGGCCAGGATAAAACTCTGGTCTTTCTCCCCAAAATGTGTTTCTTTTATGCGCTGGACCTTCACAGATAGCACTGCATTTGCTGACAATTTTTGTCAGACAGAAGTACTTGTGGGCTCAGGAGACGGGCCGACGCGTGAGGGAGCGGAACGGACGTGGCCGTGGTTGAAGTTCTCGCTCACACGGCCACTCGGCCTCAGAGGGTGGCTTTGTGCCCGGCCGTCTTCAAATCGCCGCTGAGCGTCCATCACTGACCTTTGTGGTATCTGTATTTGCCTGTGTTTCTTCCACTTCCCACAATGGAAGGGCACACGAAACTGTGGGAGTCACAGACACTGCAGTTCACGGACGTCTGGTGCCGGATGGCGTGAGGATGAGGGAGGTCACCGGTGTCCCACCGCAGCAACGCGCCAGCCAGCGTGGGCTCTCAGGGCGCCTGCACGCGGTTCCCTCGGGAGCGGACTTCGCCAATGGAAGGCATTTTCCAAGGGGGAGAAACATGACGTGAGCCCTGGATGGGGACACAGTGGGGTGGTGGGAGCTGCCCTGGGCCCCCAGGCCCACCGCCCCATTCTGCTCCCCATTCTGTTTCCAAGCATTCGCCCACAGGCTGGCGTCCCGAGGGCGCACACACACACACACACACACGTGCACAAAGAGTGTAGGGACGGGCAAATCCTTAAATGCACCTTAACGTGCACCTGACTTGTAACAAGTGACAGCCCCCGTCCGGCCCCCTGCACGGGAGGTGAGTTTCCCTGCAGAGCTGCTCCAAGCTCAAACGTCCCACAAGTCTCTGAGTTATGACCCGCAAGAAAAGCAATCGTTCGGGAGAATGAATTCCAGGGTAGAATTAAGGACTCGCCAATTCTTATATCGTAGTATGACCCGTCTGTTTGAGGGGTTCCGAGCGCACAACAAATACACTTTCAGAAACAACCCGTTTTTATCGTACAATAAATATTCCAGAGCCACGTCTCGCCCCCTGGAACCCTGGGAGAGTCCTGGCAACTGCTACCTCCGAGGCAGCCGTGATCGGTCGCCAGTCAGAGAGCCGCAGTGTTTACAGATCATGTGGAAAGTCTTGGTGCGTTATCCCCCTGGACCCTCACAAAGGCCCCACTGGCGGGTTCTGTCTGTGCACGACTCTGCCACCAGCCCCGTGCAGAGCCCCAGCTGCACCTTCCTTCCGTCTCCAGAGACAGTGCTCACGCCGTCCATGAGGCCTGGGGTCAGCTCCCTGAGAGAAGGCCAACTCTGAACCAGCAAAAAATGCACGCCTGGAGGGTCAGCACGGGACACGAGCTCCTGGGCAGCTTGGGGACGACAGGAGCCCGCTGCCCACATCGAGGTGCCCCAGTGTGTGTCAGCAACATGCCTGCAGGGCGATTCTCAGGACAGCCAGGCCAGGAGCAGAGACCAGGCCCTGCTCTCCTGGACGAGGAGAATCCGTGATCTCCAGGCACCTCAGGGGTGACCCCAGGGTCAAGGAGCAGAAGACTGTGCTGGGACAGAGCCCTGGGTGCGTGGGCTCCGTGGCGCCCAGACCCAAGGGCACGTGTGCAGGGACAGGCACCCAATAGCCTGTATCAGGAGTGAGAGCCTTCTCAGCCTCCTGACTTCTTGTCTCTGGGTCATTCTGACAACAGACTATGGGAAACACGTTAACCATGATGGAGAACAGAATGAGAATCCTCTCCTAGGTCGGGGGGTGGGGGGATTGCAATGCGTTTAGTACCGTCCGTGTGGAGGAGACATGAGGGTCAGAGCTGGAGTCCCGTAAGAAACTCAGGCGGCCTTGCTGCAGCAAAGCCCTGCAGGGACCCGGCAAGTGGCGAGAGGTTTTCCAGGACAGGCTCGTGGATCTCTAAGCAGCGCTATGGCTGCAGGACAGGTCTCCCTGCGAGGTCCCCGTCCATCCCTCCTCTGGCAGCCAGGAGCTAAGGTGCATGTGGTCCAGGTGTCCTTCCGTCTCCCCCACCGGACTGACTGTCCCAAATGACAAAGTCTACTTTCGCCTCTGTCTGTCTCGGGACCCAGAAGGCTGCTGACGCTCAGACGGGTCTGGTAAGTCCGTGTGATCAGAGTTTGCCTTGCCAACCACACGGGAGACACACAGGAGGCATTTGTGTCGCATTGTGGGGACCACAGCCTCAGCAACGGAGTGGACGTCTTCAGGCCTGGCCTCAGGAGCCCCCGGCTCCCGGCGCACTGTGACAGAAAGGCTGTTCCCCTGATCCCCGGCGGTCCTAGAATTCCAGGGAAAAGTCATTCTCAAGAGCTCAGGAGTCTCTGTCTCAGTCTTTCCTGCTATTTTCAAAAACCTGCGTGAGACTTTGCTGTATGTGAGGGTTTGGGCTGAGCCTCCTTCACACGCTCCTCTGGTTCAACCTCAGAATAATCCCACAAGGCAAGGCTATTGAAGCCACTGTAAGAAAATGGAGTGCGGGCAGGTGGAGGGACACGCACCGGAAGGGCCGAGGGGACTTGGACATCTCCTGTGCCTGAGCCCAGAGAGGGTGGAGAGGCTGCTGCCCCCCGCCCCCTGCAGCCTCCAGCTCCAAGGGCAGCCGGGCTGTGTGGAACCAAGTGGAATCCCCACCCGGCTCATTTGCAAAACCCAGACATTGTAGCTAGTGTTTCCCGGACGGGACCCAGAAGCCCACATTTTTCATCAATTTTTGTCAGTTATTGGTTATTATGGAAGGGGTCTTCCTGCCACAATCTGACAACCACGGCTTATGCCACGGCAGCCATAGGGAAATGTCCGTCTGTGAGGGCTGTTCCTCCAAGATAAACCTTTCTACCTCAAAAGGCAACAGAGGTCATCTGATATACTGCCTGCTCCACTGGCACAAACGGGCTCACGGACCCCCACCTTGTGGGAAATCAATAAGAAATTAGAGAACTCCGGCAACATCTACTCAATCTGGAGTAGGCCTTTTTGGTTGAGTTGGGTTTTTTTTCCCCATCTTTACGTTCAATTTGAGAAGCTGCATGGTTAATCTGATCTACTGTCTCTTGGCCCGAAATGCCCTAAAAATGGCAGAGCTATTTGCCGTCTGTCTGTAGCCAAGACCCATAATGCTTAAAAAAGGGGAAGAGATTAAGTGCTTGATATTTGGAAGGTAGTTATTTCTACCAAAATAGACTGTAAATAGATGCCACCCACCTCTAACTTACAAAACCCACTGTGTCCAGCCTTTGAGCAAAGTTACCTGTGCAGACCTAGCACCTCGTAGAAGCGAACGGCTCCAGGAAAGGCTAATGGTGCAGGCTGGCTAGGGAGCACTGGGCGGGGCCGCACAGGAACCCAAGGGCACCCCCCTCCTCCCCACCCAGGCTGGCAGGCTGCACTGCTTTGCCTTTTCTCTGCCAGCGACACCTCGAGGGCAAGGTCACGGAGTCTACGGCTCTTACTGCTGCTCCCCTTCCGGGGCAGGACTGAGGGGAACCCGCTGGGCGTCTGTCCGTAGGCTGTGAGCCAGCTATAAAAATCCCCCCTCATCTCCACGTGCTTAATGAGAAAAAACCCACTCCTGACTCCGGGGAAGCCTTCAAGGGCCGTGCGTGGCCCCCGCATCTGTCCAAACCGATGGCCGACGATAACTCCCTCACCACCTCCTGGAGAGCCCAGCGCAGGTGCCCTGCGAGAGGGCTGAGAAAATGGTGGGACGATTCTGTTTCCGTGAAACCACCCATGCATTAGACAGACATTCCCAGGACGCGTTCACATCTCCACCAACTAGCCCAGGGCAAGCACTTCCCTCTGTGAGCCTCGTTTCTTCTAGAAACTGGTGCCACGACCCCACCCAGGGTGGGTTTTAGGAATAAGAAAGGCAGCAAAGTGAAGGTGTGAGGGGCCTCCGTGAAAAGTAACTGCACCGCTCGCCACCACCATCCCCTGAGGATTTGGGACGAGACCTGAAGGGTCCGCGCCCCAGAAGCGCCCTTGTCTCTGGACCACCTCGTCCTGTGGTCCCGAAGTGACACATGCCCCACACGGAACAGCTGTCTGGGCTGAGAGGGGTCCAAGAAGGCCAGGCCACGGAAGTTAAGTCACCTTTACACGCATCCCGTCCACCACCCACAGTTAACAAGGGATGGTTTCGCCAAATTTACTTCCCACCGTTTCCTGCAAGGAAAGAAAGAAAGGGGAAAAGGAAACACCATAGACACAAAGGAAGCCACCCTGTAAGCCCACATCCATTTTCCGTCCTTGTGTCTCGGGGAAGGTGGGAAGTCTCTAACCTTTACCCCCTATGTGTGATTCCACAAACAGTGTATAAGGTGTGTGTCTGCAAAATCTGGTGCTGTCCTCGCTCTACGCGTTAGTTTGCGTCATCTAACCCATTTCTCAGTCACCTACGTGGACGCATACACACGTAGTTGATTAAGTGCAAGTGCCACGTGGCCTTCCCTTGAATGACGGCACCACAATTTGCCCACCACCGCCCTGGGCAGGAAAGGCCGCCCTGACCCTCAGCATTGCCCAAAGCCCGGAGGAGGAAGGGGACGCCTGTTTGGTTGGTTTGGGGCGGCCTGGGGAGATAGGCACGGCGTCCGTGCCCAGGGCGGGCAGCCGGCCGCAGCCTGGAGGCCTCGCGGGCCCCACCGACACCTCCTTCTCAGAAATGCCTCTCCGCAAGAACCGCCTGGGACGCAGGCCCCCATGTCCACACAACCCCCTCCCGGGGCCCCGGGCCAAGCGCGAGTCCCCAGCCGGCCGTCCTGCTGGCGGCTGCAGCGGTACCGTCTGACGTCGGTGGCCAGCCGCCAGGGCCCTGGGTCACGGCTGTCTTTCTCGCCCGCAGGTACCAGCAGCGCGGATGTGAAGGAAAACCGCGTGAGCAACTGGGAGGCGAGGCCCCTGGCCGCCAGCGACAGGGCCAGAGGCAGCACGCCCGGCGTGAAGCGGAAGAGGCCTCTGGAGGAGGGCAACGGCGGCCACCTGTGCCCCCTGCAGCTCGTCTGGAGGAAGCTCTCGTGGTCCGTGGCGCCCAAGAATGCGCTGGTGCAGTTGCACGACCTACGCCCGGGCCTGCAGTACCGCATGGTGTCCCAGACCGGCCCCGTGCACGCGCCCGTCTTCGCCGTGGCCGTGGAGGTCAACGGGCTCACCTTCGAGGGCACGGGGCCCACCAAGAAGAAAGCCAAGATGCGGGCGGCCGAGCTGGCGCTGAGGTCCTTCGTGCAGTTCCCCAACGCCTGCCAGGCCCAGCTGGCCATGGGCGGTGGCGCCGGGCCATCCACGGACTTCACCTCCGACCAGGCCGACTTCCCCGACACGCTGTTCAAGGAGTTCGCGCCCGCCGCCCCCAGCGAGGCCTTCCCCGGCCGCCGGCCCGCCGACCCCGGGCTGCTGGCCACGGCCTGCCCGCGGGGCCGGCTCCTCTGCCACCCGCTGGATCTGGGGGGCCCTGCGGCCCCGGGCGACAGGAACCCCGTGGTCGTGCTGAACAAGCTGCGCTCCGGCCTGCGCTACGTGTGCCTCGCGGAGCCGGCCGAGAAGCAGCGGGCCAAGAGCTTCATCATGGCCGTGTGCGTGGACGGCAGGACGTTCGAGGGCTCAGGACGCAGCAAGAAGCTGGCCAAGGGCCAGGCGGCACGGGCCGCCCTCCAGGCCCTCTTCGACATCCGGCTGCCGGGCCACGTCCCCAGCAGGAGTAGAGGTCAGCTCCTGCCCCAGGTGAGCCTCTCAAGTGCTGCCACAGGCGGCCGTCTTCTGAAGCCAGTTGGCCGGGTGGTGGGCAGACCCCTCTGCTCCCATCACTGGCGGGCCCCCCGCCCCCCGCATCATTGTTAGGAGCGGTTTGCAGGCCTTTGGAGAGAGAGAGCGGGTCGTGTGAGTGTGAAGAGAGTGTCCACACTCCCGGAGCAGGCAGCAGATCACCCTGGAGATGGCCATGCCACCCATGAGGGGCCGCAGCGGGCCCTCCCCGGGGAGAGGGTTAGCGGCAGGTCACTACAGTGAGCGCGGCAGCGTGATGTGTGCGCCAGGTGGGGTCCGGGGGCGGGGGGGGGGGGGCCTCCAGCTGGGGGCCTGCAGAAAGCCCTGCGAACGTGGCTCATCTCGCCCGGGTGATGCCAGTCGGGGCCCCCGGCCAGGCCAGACAGAGGCGCAGGGGCTGAGGCCAGGGGCTGGCGGGAAGCGGAGAGCTCAGGGAGGGAGAGGGGGCTCGCGCCTGCGTCACGGCCACAACCTTGCCGTTTCTGCAACACTGGGTCGCTCATTCAGGGAATATTTTGTGGCGCCGTCCGTGTGTCGGGAACTGTCTATCTGTGATTTTGTAACAACCTCTTCCCTCCAAGTCTTGAAAGTGCTTATTTATGCAATCACCCTTCCTGTCACCACTCTGGGGACTTGTGGGCGTCCTGTGTGTGTTGGATACAGGACGGTGTCTATATTGGCTTCAGCATCAATCGAGGACAGACGTGCTTCACGCAGTTAGAAAGCACAGAGGCCAGTGTGAGCGCAGAGTGGGCCCCGTGTACCTGAGTTACCGCTGGGACTACCATGCCCCCCATCACAGCATCCGGAACAGAGTCCGCTGCACCCGGGGGACCAGGCGCATGCTCCCCGGGGAGAACAAGGGGCTGCACAGCCATCAGAGCAAGTGGCTGCGGGCAAGACCCTAGAGCAGAATCACGCCGGGGCAGGCACTCACTCACTCACTCACTCATCCGTCTTTGATCCTTAGCGGCTGCAGGGCACAGGAGGGCAGGGGCCTGCTCCGGCCGTGGCCTGCCCCCCACAGCAGGGTAGAGAGATGGAGGAAGACTGCTGAGCGAGATATTCCTGTTTCTCTGCTCCCTCTGCCCTTGATCCCGTCCTTTGGTTTTCAGATACTTGCTGCACGTTGTAGGAGGCCAGTTGGGGCCGTTTAGACTGTAACCTTGCCTTGTCTTGCGACCTACCCTCAAGTAACACACCGTCCAAGTAAACACGGTGTTTGCAAAGCAGCTGGGCATCCCTGTGAGTCCCCGCACGTCTCCGAGGGAGGGAGGGGCTGCGTCTTGCTCCCTGTCTTCTGCACCCCTGCTGGTTTGTGTCCTTTGTTCCCTCCTGTCCTGTGTCTCCACTCGTCACTTAAACTCGCCAACAACACCCAAGGAAGCCTCTGTGCCCTCTGCGGCCTGCGTGAGCCCCAGGCTGCCGTGACGCTGGCCATGGCCTGTGTCTCCCAGCCACCTTCTCTGAGGACGCCCCCCATGCCAGGCCCCCGCGGGCCTCCGCCGGCCTGGCCGTTCTCCCCGTCCTCCTCCCTCTGTGGCCGCTGCACCGGCCCCGCTGAAGGTTGAAGGGTGTCAGTGAGTTCTGGCCGCAACGCCTTCTTCTTCATGTTGTCAACCCCGAGCGCTCAGACAGAAGAACCAGGCAGCACCACTGCTTTGTAACAGTCATTTGACCCCAGAATGCAGCACATCAGTTAAAGCCACGGCCGCTAAATTATTTTTCTCTGACAGTCCGCTAACCACCCCGACTGGATGATGGAGGGCGCGGAGCAGCGTGAGGGTTGCGGGCCATCCATCACACCCCAGGCACCGCCATCTCGCAGGCTCATTACCTGTCGCCTCGCCCCTGCACCCCGGGGCTGGGTGGGGCTGAGCCGGCCGGGGGACTCAGGACCAGTCACCATCAGTGGCTTTATTGAATCCAAATCCTGTCTTGGATGTGGCCTGGATTCTTGGACTGATCTTTAATTCAGGAAAAGATCCCAAGAATCCCTGTAAGTCCTGCTCTGCTTTCCTGCGCTGCCCGATGCTGTCCATACAGCCGGCTTCCCCCGGTCCTGGGGCTCCAGGTCCCCAAAGGCACGACCCTTTTTTCCCTAGCTATGCTGTTAGCATCTGTGCAGGAGAGCAAGCCGGCAGCCCCAGGCCCAGCCAGACTTCCGGAAAAGGCACGTGCCCTGACACTGAGCCGTAAGGACCCTGCCCAAGCCCACGGGGAGGACGGTGGCCCCGCTCACTGCTACAGTGACAATTTTAGAACTGGGTGTCAACATCAGCATTCAACGTTCCCGGCCCAGTTTCGAGGTTCTGTGCCACACAGGGTGGTCTTGGGTGAACAGATGACAAACCGAGTCTCTGTTGAAGGCTTTCACAAAGTCTCCATCTGCCATGAACACTCTGACGGGCGCTCCCTCACAGTGACCCACAATGAGGGAAAATTCAAACGAGATAGCACGTGGAGCCATGTGGGTAGCATGCTCAAATGCCACGGTGGGTCCCACTGTAAAAACCCATCAAGCTGGCCCCTGAACTTCTGATTCCCATAAAGGTAGGTCGGCTCACCTGCACCGTTCCAACCTTTTCGTGGCTCTGCTCCAGCCTGAGCCCAGAAAGCAGGACCACACAGGACGGGCTGGGCCGGCTGGAGGTTTGCTCTGACCTCAAGACAAGTCTGGGTGAGCATAGCTTCCTCACATCCCTCTGCTGAAGACCTGAAGGGAGCCTGTCTGGAGCAAATACCGATCTTGCCAGAGGTGTGGGACGTCATGTCACTGTCCACCAGGAAGGGAAAGGGTAAGTGGCACTGGTTCCACTCCGTTTCGAAGGAGAAAGGAAAAGTGGCACTTGGTTCCACCTCCGTTTCGAAGGAGGAAGTTCTGAAGAGCGATATTCTCAGTGAAGATTAAAATCGTAGGTGTTGCTTTCTCCAGGATCTGATTTTCACCCATTCCTTTGTGGGGGGCATCTCTCAGAACTGGGCTAGTTTTCTTCTTTCACTTCCGCGAGATCTGGCTTTGGTCTCTTATCCACAGGGCTGAGATCAAGACTTCATTAAATTCTCTAGAACACAGTACAGACCTAACTGAGCTGGGGGAGCAGTCTATAACACCCACACTGGTGCACAGGTTGTGCACTCTGCAAATATCAGTTGATAAGGGTACCCGATGCAGACCAGGAGGTAGCTAGGCCAGCCGGCCCGACTCTTCCCATTTTCCTGGCCTACAGGACTCCTCTGTGTTAATGAGATAGGAAGTGATAATGACACTGTGTTGACACATACAGATGGTCCCCAACTTAAGACGGTTTGACTTAATGATGTTTAGACAATGGTGCAAAAGCGGTATTCATTCAGTAGAAACCATTCTTTGAATTTTGAATTTGGATCTTGTCCCGGGCAGCGGCATGTAGGACGATCCTCTCTCGTGAGTGGCTCGCAGCCAGCCCCTCGATCATGACAGCAACAGTCGACGCGTGGACAACTACACTCATCCACACCCACACTGCCATTCGGCTCCGGTGTCCCTCAATCGGGACATAACCCATCATCAAGTCAAGGAGGATCTGTGAATACTCATTCCCTGGAAACATTACCATAAAACAAGATAAAATCACAAAATCTCCATCTCTCTCCGGTCTTTGCTTCCTAGCCCCAGCATGAAAACAGGTGACTCAGGAAAGCGCCAGATTCCATCCGAAAGGCGTCTCTCCCACCGTGGAGAAGAGAGCGAGTAAACAGGGATGGCCATAAAGGGAGCGCGAGAGAAAGTTACAGGGACACCAGGAAGCACCCTCGGGTGGAAACAAACGCGGTTCCTGACTTTGGGTCAGCTTCTCCTTCACACTCGAGGATCCCCCTCATTTTATTTTGTTTTGTTTTGTTTTTAATTTCCATGTCAGACTGTGGTGGTGTCAGCCGTGTGTCTTGCCCACAGAGGAAGAGAGGGAGTAACTTAAAACTGTTCACGCAGGTGCGTGGTCCCTGCCACGCCCTCTGGGGGGATGCTCCCGCGTATGCAGCGATCACTGTGGGGGAGGGGAGAAACCATGGGAATTTATAACCCGATGGAAAGGAACAATTACTTTTTAAGTTTGAGCATTTTACAGCAAATTTGGATCCGAGCTGCAGTCCGCGATCCCATCTCACGGAATCTGCCCCCAGAATTAGCCGCGGAATGAGGCCGGGGGGGCCGTACTGGCTCCTCAACAGCTGCACTGCGGGACGCTAATAGCACGTTTGCGCAAACGTGCCGTCCTTCTCCCAAACCCCAAGGTGACCCCCAGCCGCCTCCGGCCACTTCACAGATTGTTTTTCTGATCTCCTGCTCCTGCAAATCTATCTTACTCAATAGGAGTGGCATCCTAACCACTGTCATGTGAAACCGTTAATTAATATTGCTGTAACAAATTAGCTATAGAGGGGCCCTCAAGTTTTAAATAGGCTTAAATTAAAAACAGATAGCTATGGAAATCATATGCACTTGGCTTTGAAACAGCTTAATGCTGTCTAGCTGGTTTACCCAAGGACACCCAAAAACAGCAGCAGGTGCCCACGTGCCCTTGCCACTCGGCTCTGGGGGACTCGAGACGGGCCAGCCAGTGCCAGCCTTGCAGTAGGCCATGGGTGCAGCCCGGGGCAATTCCAGACAGACGCCTGAACAGAGTCCTAGAGCTCTGCATGTCCCACAGGCAGAAAGGATCGCTTCTGGACTCCAGGTGACCTTCTTGGAGTCAGGACAGCAAGGTGTTTTCTCGTTTCCACGTGGCTGTCCCATCTGACAGGATTTCGGTTTCTCAGCTATTGTCCTACTGTCCCCTGGCGAGTGGGATTAAGGTCTGACCTCCCCACATGCAGGCACTGGCTGGCACAGGAGCCCCAAGGTGGCCCAGGACCATCGCAGAAGCACAGTTCTGGCCAAAGAGACCCTAAGCTAAAGAACTCAGCCAAGCAGCTGA